TTAAAAAGTGATGTTTTTGCATTACAGTTGTCTAAAATAAATGAGATTTTAAAGGTTTACTGCGTGGACACCAGTGTGTTTTTTTTTAATAAGTTTGGATCCAAATTGTGCATGTTTGTGACTCAAACTACGTGTGACAGAAAAAGAAATAAGTTGTGCGTGTGTGCGCGAGTGGTGTGTGTAAGCGTGGCTCGAGGGGTGAGTGAGTTTTATCCCACTGTCAGAGAGAATGTGTCAGATTTCAAGTCCTTTGTTCCTTGTCGCCAAGCCTTGTCGTTACGTCTATCCACGCGCGTGTTGAGTGTTTGCCTGCCATCCCTGTCGGCTTTAGTTATTAGTCACTGGCTCTGTCGAGAGCCTCCCCCCTCCCTTCCTCCCTCCCTCCAAATAGTTTGGAAGTCATAAATCCATAAGCAGACAGATGTAAGCTGGGGACCAAATACAGAGATATATTAGGCGTTCCTCTGGATCTAGCAAGCTGCTTGATGGGACATAAATGCAATCATATCCTTTCTCCCAAATCCCTCAGAGCTTTCAGATTCTCCCTTCACCACCGCTGATAGACGATTAAGATACAGATGCTTCTGTCTGCGCGCTACGCTAAATCTGCTGAGATAATTCTCAAGTATACCATATGTCTTCCCTTACATTTTGACTCGCAGCGCCTTGTCTGAAGCTGAGACGCAGAATGAAGGAATTATGAAGGAGCGTTTTTAAACAGACTAACGTGTAACATCTCTGGAAACAAAGACGATTCTATTAAAATATTCTAYCTGCAGCTCCTGGAGCAGGGGCGGAGCCAGAGGGGTGGCTAGGGGGGGCACCTGGTTGGCCACCTCTAGTGCAAATAATTGACAAGTGGGTGGGGATCTTAGATTTTTGTTGAAGATTGGTCTCTGACACATTTTCAGCKGTTTATGTTTAAAAATAGCTGAATTAGAGCTCTTTGTAAATTAGCATTAGCCATAGCTTCATTTAGCATTTACATGGGCAATCGRCATGTGATCGTTCTTAGCTACGCTACAACAAATTTCATCCCAGTAAGTCTAAAAATGGTTAAATTATAACCTTTTAGAGTAATATTTGATTAGCATTTAAAATAAAGCAAATATTATTTTTGGCTACTTCTACTAATTTTTGACTTTGTACATCTAAAAATAGCTGAAGTTTTTTTTTTCAACAGACTAACGTGTAACATCTCTGGAAACAAAAAGTGTTCTGTTAAATTATTCTGTCTACTTAAGAATATCCATGGTGAGGCAGCTCCTGGAGCAGGGGCGGAGCCAGAGGGGTGGAGCCAGAGGGGTGGAGCCAAATGGGTGGCTGGGGTGGCACCTGGTTGGCCACCTCAGGTGCAAATAGCTGAGAAGTGGGTGGGGATCTTAGATTTTGTGGAAAATTGGTCTCTGACACATTTACAGCTGTTTATGTTTAAAAATGGCTGAATTATAGCTCTTTGTAAATTAGCATTAGCCATAGTGGTTAGCTTAATTTAGCRTTAACATGGGCAATCGGCATGTGATCGTTCTTATCTACGCTACAACAAATTTCATCTCAATAAGTCTTAAAATGGTTAAAATACAGCCTTTTAGAGTTAGCTGTGGTGGCCACTTTGAATATTTGATTTGCATTTAGAATTAAGCAAAGATTATTTTTTGGCTACTTCTATATTAGTTTTTGGCTTTGTATGCCTAAAAATAGCTGAATGTTTTGCTAGGATTACACAAAATATCGTCTCAGTATTTCATAAAACAGCTGAATTAAAGCCATTTGGAAATAGGTGTGGTGGCCATCTTGAATTTTCTTTATTATTATAATTATTATTATCTTTATTTATTATCTTTATTTGCATGTACCCCCCCCCCAAAAAAAAATAAAAATAAAAATAATACATCCTGGCCACCCCTGTGTCACCCCTTACACAAACGTCTAGCTCTGCCCCTGTCCTGGAGGGAAACCAGCTTATCCTGAGGTCTCCCAACATTCTCCAGAGAGGATCCTGTCCATGATGCTGAGTGTGACTTTGTGTCATTGAATGGTTCAAGTCCAGACCTTAAACTCCCACAGACCCCCCCCCCCATCACACACACACACACAGAATGACCCTGATCATAAAGCCTTTCCCAGGTCCACAAACACATGTGGACCAGACAATCAAACTCCCATGATTACCTCTGCTTTGAAATCATTATACTCCTTTTACTGTAATTGAGTCTGAGAACCCAAATGCTTCAATAATACCAGATTATGAATTCATTATGATATGCTGGAATAATGCTGGCCAGATGTGGGCGCTTTGTCTGATTGGCATCATGAACCTAATCCAAACTGGACATCTGACAATGGAGGTATTTCTGACCCTGAAATGACTTTGAGCTCATTCTGGATGTAAAATAAATAATTAACATAAGAAAATTAAAATAAAAGCCAAGGCAATCAAAGCTGGCAGCTGTGTGATTATTTCAACACGACAGTTTGTGAACAATGGGTCATTTTCTGTGCTTTTCTAACTCTTAGATGTTCCTGACTAATTAATTAAAAGCATKTAATCCAAATCACTTCAAACTAAATTACCACAAAAAGATACGACACAAATGTTTCATGTGAAACTACAGCGTTAACGCCAAGCACTGAGTGACTGCTCAAACATGCTGAAGAAGCTGAAATACAGGTATTAAAGCTAAAATCATCAGAACACTAGCTAAAAGTTCAAATGAAACAACAGCTAAAAGCTAAAAGCACATTTCTAATGTAGCAAAAGGATTGCAAAGAGCTTGATGCATAGCTAAAAGTTAAAAGTATCAAAAGGTAGGTAGAAGTTAAAAGTAACTAAAGATGGTCCAAATGCTAAAAGTAGCAAAAGGCTAGGTAAAAGTTAAAAGTAGCTAAAGATGGTCCAATGCTAAAGGTAGCAAAAGGTTAGGTAGTAGTTAAAAGTAGCTAAAGATGGTCTAAATGCTAAAAGTAGCAAAAGGTAGAAGTTAAAAGTAGCTAAAGATAGTATAAATGCTAAAAGTAGCAAAAGTCTTGGTAGTAGCTAAAAGTAGCTAAAGATGGTCCAAATGCTAAAAGTAGCAAAATGTTAGGTAGTAGCTAAAAGTAGCTAAAGATTGTCCAAATGCTAAAAGTAGCAAAAGGCTAGGTGGACGTTAAAAGTAGCTAAAGATAGCCTAAATGCTAAAAGTAGCAAAAGGTTAGGTAGTAGCTAAAAGTAGCTAAAGATGGTCCAAATGCTAAAAGTAGCAAAAGGTTAGGTAGTAGCTAAAAGTAGCTAAAGATTGTCCAAATGCTAAAAGTAGCAAAAGGTTAGGTAGAAGTTAAAAGTAGCTAAAGATTGTCCAAATGCTAAAAGTAGCAAAAGGTTAGGTAGTAGTTAAAAGTAGCTAAAGATAGTCTAAAAGCTAAAAGTAGCAAAAGGCTAGGTAGAAGTTAAAATTACCTAAAGATAGACTAAATGCTAAAAGTAGCAAAAGGCTAGCTAGAGGCTAAAGTAACTAACAGAACAGCAGCTAAAAGCTCAAAGCTAAAGCACTACAACTCAAAGCTAAAAATAACAAAATGCTAGYTAAAAACTTAAAGTAGCAAAAGTTTAGTTAGAGGCTAAATTGTCCGAATGGTAGATAAAATTTAAATGTGGCAAAATCCTTGCTAAAAGCTAAATGTAGTAAAAAAAAACTAGCTAGAGGCTAAGGAAACAGAACATCAGCTATAAGCTCAAGCACTATAACTAAAAGCTAAAAATAACAAAAGGCTAGCTAAATGCTAAAGAAGGCAAAAACAGAGCAAGAATTTTAAGGGAAGAAAGTTTTAAGGAACTGAAATGATGCTGATTTATCTGTGAGAAAAACATTTGTAAATAACCTTAAATATTTAGAAAGTTCTTACAAACAAAAGTCATAGCGCCCATCTCCTGAACGAGCCAAACATTTTGATATATATTTGAATAGCTTTGCAAAAAGACTTTCTCAAACAAGATCTGAAATTTAAAGTTATCTAAAAAGTTTAAGTATAATCCAGTTTTCTCGTACAGATACTTCCTCAGATTGTTTGTTGTGTAGATGAGGTAAATATTCCTCTTTCTGAAATCAGAGGAGTCCTGCTTGTGTCACCAGTGCCTGGTGTCTGCTCCAAACCACTCCAAGGTGGACTCTTGGAACAGGAAGCACCGCCTTGACCCTCGCTTCCTCCATTGCTCCTTGTTTATGTTCCAACAACTTCCTGCATTTCTGTCATTTCTCAGGCTTGGAACAGTGCGGCCGTCGGACGGTCATATCATGATAGATTTGTCTGGCAGAGGAAGGTTTTTCTGTGAAGGATTAGCAGCTGATAGGAGAGCTGCTCCAGACTGTGGTGCACCTGTAATGTCTGTTTTCAGCCACTAGAGGGAGTTTAAGCCTGAGCTATGTGAGGCCCCACATGACTGGAGGTAAGGGCGCTGACATCTTTTATCAACTCAGTTCTATTTTATTTGAAGTATTCTTGACATTGAAGCTAAATGTTTTGCTATTCAAACATTCATATTAGATCTTTTCAAATAATTTATGATTCTTTATAGATTTTTAAGTGCCAATTTAAACAGGTGCGCTTTAAAGGTGAAAAAACTTTGAAATTTCTCTCTGTAACATACTTTTACACATAGCATCTTTAAAAAMCAGTGAGAATGATGCACGTATGAAGCATACTGAGATGTGCAAATGGGTTTAAATCACAGCCAATAAACATCTTCATTTTATAAATATCAGGTTATGACTTATTTTTCCTAAAATCAAAGAGAAAAAAACTCTGATTCTAAAACAGGCCAGTTTTCATCCTCTTATTAAAGCTTAATCACAGACGTGACTTTATTTTCTTTGTTTTGGGGGCCTCCTKGTGCATAACTGTGCAAAGACTCATCTCCGTCATGTCGGCAGGTGTCGTTTGGCCAGACTCTTAAGCTGAAAGCCCCCAGGACCCCAGCACAAGCTGCCAAATCCTGTGAAAGTAGCTGTGGAACAAAATACCTGAAGGAGCTGCAGGGAAACACTCAGATGTTGGGTTTTGTTCTCATTAATATGATCAGAGGTGAAATGCTGGTCATCTAAAAAAGAAAAAAAAACACATAAAAAGGTCATTTTTCTGCAAAGATTGTGATTAAAACAGCTGATAATTTTCTATAGCATCATAAAAAATCATTAACTTTTAAAAAACCTTAAAAAAGGCTGAGAGGTTTATTGCTTTTTTTTGCTTTGGATAGGGGACACATTTGTAACGTAGAAAAAATAAGAAAGTTCTGCTTGTGCTCAGTTTGGAAGTAGAAAGACCACCAGTGGTTCTGGAAACAATCCCAAGCAAACAGGAAGTCCCCACGACTAAAACTAAACTACATTTGGGGGGGAGTCAAGTGGAAATGCAAAAACAAAAGCAGAATTTCATTATATTTTGGATTTCTCAAAAAAAAAAAGAAGAAATGACACTTTGTGATAATCCAGTTCTTGCATTAAAGTGTTTACACGAGGTCAGCTCAGCAGCCTGTGTGTTTCTTTAAAACAAAAAGCTAAATATCTCAGATTAAAACACAATGAACTGAATCAAACRCACCTTTACAGAATGTTCCCGGAGCTACGAGCTGCTAAACACTGCAGAGACAGGGGGAAAAGATTGGAGTGACATCCCAGTTATTGCTCTTGACATTTGTGCATCGTCCAGGAGCATATGTGCAGTAAATGCTGCACCTAAGGGAGGTTTTGTGTGTGTGTGTGTCTGTGTGTGTGTGTGTGTGTGTGTACGCCTGTACAGAAGAGCTAAGTGCAGCTGAGGACAGACGGTGAATGAATAATAAAGTGTGTCAAACCTGACCTATGTGGTCATTCATTTTAGACTTTTCCTCTGCATCACACACAAACACAAACACAAACACAAACACAAACACACACACACACACACACACACTGCAGGAATGACCAGACGCCTTTGTTTTTCAGCTGCTGAACTGTGAAAGCGAGCTGGACAGGGATCAACCATATAATGTCGTTTTGACGGCCACTCCAGCTCAGACGCTGCCGCCCTCCTCGCTTCAGCCGATTGCCCCCGAGCCCTGAAACACCCCCCCCCCCCCATCTGCACAGGAAGACGGTGGCATTTGGTGGGTACAGTGGGCAGYAAATCACAACATTAGAGACAAACACATAGATGGAGCGAGAGAATGAAACTGTGAGTAAGACATGAATCATCAAATCAAGCAAAACAAAAAGAATTYAAGTGTATTACTCAGAGGAATGTGGATTTCCTGCTCATTGCAGCTGTTTTACTCAAACCTCGGAAATAATAAAATCCTCAAAAGAAAACTCATGTGTTGTATATGACTACAACCACACCAAATCTGAGCTCAGTATTTGTAAAATTGGCTAAATTATATCCATTCTGGTGTTTTCTAAGGTCAGATGTGATCTTTAATAGTCTCATCAGTTCTGAGGGCTTACAAAGTGAATATTTCTTTAAAAGTTTCTGTGAAATCTGTCCAGTSGTCCATGAGATGTTYTGCTAACAGACAGATTTCACTGAGAATGGTAAAGTTTTAAACAAAGCWGCAGTGAAATCTGTTGGGGATCRGTCTCCGCTACCACCACACCAAATTCTGCATCAAAATCTGTGAAATCAACTCAGTTAAATTATTTTTCTTTTTGTATGGAAAGTCTGTGGCAGCCATTTTGAATGAGTCCAAATGTAAATCATCTAAATTTACGCAATTTTTTTTGTTTAAAGTCAGTTTAACTCTCTCTAAAAAACCTACTTGAAGCTTTAAATGCCGATAATACAACTCAATTTATAATAAATCTTAAATTTCATAATGTAATAATCGTTTTTATTTGTAGAACACGACATTTATTGGCAGTTTTAGGTGTAATAAATTGTCATAAATCTGTATTTGCTTATGTTTTCATGACACTTTTATTTTTAATTTGTATTTTTATTATGACCGGGGGACATATTTAAATAAAACTCGTACCATAGCTTAAAATAGGCCTGCAGACTGCACTTTTCTTTTTCTTTACCCTATGCAACTTGCTTCAAATGCTAACAGGCTAACACTTTTAACCTTTTATTAATTTTGCTACAGATGTTTTATTCACACATATACAAAAAAATAAGAAAAAAAAAGACAAAAGATAAAACTTGCCTTTTTAATTGTATGCATGTAAAGAATATTAATTTTCATGTTAGTTGAGATGAAAGCTATAAAAGCTCCTGGAGAGGGACTGAAGTGCTGCAGACCCTATGCATAACACAATAATTAAAGCAGGAAAAAACAATTGTATAAATAATTACATTAATTTGTTTTTAGCTACTTTAAAGTAAATATTCCAAACAGAACCCCACTTCAAAATGCCTGAACTATCCCTTTAACTGAGCTACTTTTCTACAGTGATCTACATGTAATATCTGATTGGACACTTCCGTGTTGTTTTTATGAMGAGCAGCGAAATTAACCAATCAAATAATCAGAAGGCGGGCTCTGTAACATGACACGCGCTAATTAAAGTATGATTGACACCTGGTTCGGCACGAGCTTACTGGAAGACGYGGTGAGTATTTAACACTAAAAACGCACTTTTAACACAAAACTGACAAACTTGTTGCGACTTTTAGAAACAGTGTGTGCTGTTTAGTTGACGACAAGAATAAAAAAAAGCCAAATAAAGTGATAACTGAAATTACCGCGAGGAAAACCTGTTTTACAGTATTTGCTAATTTGCGCTAACTAGCATAGCTTAGCTTAGCATGTAAAAGTCCCTTTTTCTGGATTTTAAATTGTATATTTGTAAGTGTCTAAGCATTATTTAAAGGTGGATATTAGGTATCTGCATCCTGTCAGTATTTTTTCCTCTTACCTGCCACTCACCTGTCCACCTGTCGGTCCCTCACGTGTCTGTCTGTCACTGTGTCCAGATGGAGCTGCATGATGGATTTTTACCTAAATACTGGCAGAAAAATAAGTGTATTTGCAAAAAGTAGCTAAAAATATTCAGACTAGAGTGAATGTAAAAAAATTAAATATTTTTAATTCAAAACTTTCTATTTAAGTCCATTAATTTACTTCATTTTATTGATTTTTATTATTTTTCTTGCATGCTGCCGCAACTTTACCCAGAAACACTTTTATTTAAGCATATTTTTACTTAAATTATTGTTTCTAATTAATTTAAAGTTATATACTACATGCTCAGGTGTTGTTTTTATTGGTTTCCTCTCCCTTTCTTTATTGTTATAACACTTATTTTGCTTCTTCATCTCATTTTCTCTCATTCGCTGGCCTTTATAATGGAATAAATGAACTTAGAGATGTTGTGTCATTAAATTAGAAGTACAAACAGATTTGTAGAAGCAACAGCTCCTCCTAAAAATGAGATTTTGTTTGGTGTGTAAGTCTTGTATCACAACTTTAACATGTTAGTTACATTAACTTTGATCAAATGAGAGATTTTATAAATGTAACTCCTGATTTTGATGATTATATGGACTTATCTAAGCATTAACACATTGATGTGTGTGTGGACACTCACGCTGTTYTGCCTGCCGCTCCTGATGCACGTTACAGGCTGTGCCGAGCACCAAGTGTCCATCTGCTTCACAGCTGTGCAGGAAGCTTTCTCTGCACGTTTCAGCTTCTAGTTCATCTCTATRTTAGTATTGTTTCATTCTATCAAACACAAATAAAGTCACATGTAATATTTTAGTACTTAAACAGTTATTAGTGTCTGACTATGAGCTGAGACGGTCGTAGACTCGTTGATGATGCAAAATTGCAAGAAAAAAGCCAGATTTTCTGTTGTTGAATTTTGAGCATTTGCAAGTCGTGCAGCGGCGATATTTAAAAATCGCAGCCTGTTTTCTGGTGCACAGCTTGCACAAATGTAGTGTTGATCATGCACATTATTTCGCCCACGTCGTGTGATTTATTCAGCTGAAATTCTTTATTCCTGCAGGACAGTTTGTTTCGCTGCCAGGTGAGAACGACAGATAAGTCCAAAGCTCAGATGGTGGGAGCTTCAAGGGTTCAAGGTGGGTTGCAGAGGAAATAGGTTGCCTAAAGTTGTTTTGAGTACGTTCGAAACACGCAGTAAACTCAGAGAACATTTTGGAGCCTCCATCATGGGTGTTAAAGTCACTTCCAATGTGCAGTTTAATYCTCTTTATAATAAAACATTGTCCTATAGTGTGGTAGGATTTAGAATCAAGTATTTTTTTACTGTAGCTGTTTAGCCATGGTGACAGTACCTGCACCGAAGAGACGAGCGTTCTGTAATTAACCTAAATCTGTTTGTGTCTCTGTGTGTGTGTGTGCTTTGGGTGTGCGCACGGATGTTTGTGTGTAATGTGAAGAGAAGTGAAGAGAGGGAGAGGTAGCGGAGAAAGACGTGGAGTGGCGAGGGAGCGACGGAGAATTGACACAAATCAACGTGAGCACCCAAACCACCATCATCATCAGCAGCGGCGGCGGCCGGCGGCGGCAGCCTCCCCGACCTCCATCACCTCCCTTCTTCTCCCTGGAAGACACCAGCAGCACCAGAGGGAAACAGACACTCCTGTCCAACACTTGACTGGTAAGAGCGCAGATTTATTCACACTCCCAAACACGGTGAAGTTGTTTTAAAGCACAGATAAGAATGGAGTCATGGCTTTATCTTCACACTCGTCTCCTCTCTGCTGCTGCACCGGAGAACACGACTCTCAGAGTAGAACCGTGCGAGCGTGTGCTGCCAGTCCTCCTCCAGTCGGTTATTTTACAGCCCGTTGGGGCTCGGGGATTGGACCGAGGGAGGCTTTTTCCACCAATCAGCATGCTTCCCCGAAAGCAGGAATTAAAGGAGAAGGTAGAGGGGTAGTAAAAAGTTTTACTCTGAGACTTCTTTTAAACAGAATAAAAACGAGTGAAACATTTTCTGGTTTCACAGAATTACTTGAAACAAATTGTTCGTGTTTGTTTTTAGTTTGTGCCTTCAGCATGACATTTATTTCTCAGTAGAACTAGATCCAAGCTTTTATTGTTCATCAGCTTTTCTGTCTTTTAGCTAAATGAATCCCTGGACAAAGTTTTAATAAAACTCTCAGAACATCTACAACTAAATATCTATTGGAGACAACCAAATTCAAGATGGCTGCCATAGACGACTGAACGTAGAAAACACAAAAATCAGTATAATTCAGTCTGTTTCGGAGATATTGAGCTAAAATTTGATGTGGTAGTAGGGCTGATGGTATGACCTCAAATTCATTTCACAGTATAAATTGAATCCCTTCACGGTAACAATATATACTGCAGTAGAAAATGATCATAAAAAGCAAAGACAATGTAATTTTTAGAGCATTTATTTAGCAGAAAACTGTAATCATAATCAAACCCAGCATTTTTGCTGTAATGCAAATGAACATAAAAGTACAAAAGGATGTTTTATATATATATTGCAAAATGGTTTCAACAACAAACAAAACATTTCTCAAATTTTCAACAATATCAAAATAAAGTGGATGTCTGTAGAYGAACTTCATATCGTTTCTACCATCTCGTACACTGCACAGAGTCAAGGCCTCAACATACTCCATCTGAACGGCCGAAATCGTCTTTCGTTGTCGAAAATTGCGTCATTTTGTCTGCCCCTTCTTGTCACAACCCTCCGGGAGAACTTTTCTTCACATAAGTAATTACTGTGTGATTGGGCAGAAGTTTGTGGGTGTGTTTGTTTACGCTAGACGCTGCCTTTTACTTCAACTGCTCGCTTCCAGAATCCGACGTTTGCAGGCATTTATAAAGAAATGGTAAAAAAACTTGTGGATAGAGATAAAACAGACGTTGTGCACAGCTGCTAAAATCTGTGGCGCTTTAATCTGGACAGATTAAAGGTGAGTATCTGCGTTGGTTTTTTTTTTTTTTTCTATAGCGTAAACTCCAGCAGGGGTTTCCCAGGAGTTTGGCGCGGTGTGTCTCAGGAGCTATGAAAGGTGTGTGTGAAAACAAACAGAACAACCACGTGACCGCACGTTGACTGTGGGGCTTCAGATTGATTATAGTCGATATGTTGTGGATGAAGTGCTCTGTCTTAGAACATGGAGCATAGAGGATTATCAAGGTCCGACAAAAGTGTTTGCAACTTTAACATAAAATGATCTCAGCTTAAAACTCTGCCATGAAAGTCAGCATTATCTTTATCTCTTCAGAACAGCTGAGCCAAGCTAAGTTTTAAAGTTAACTAGTTTGAGAATAATCTTGATGATCATACTGACATAATTTGTTGCTTTTGGAGACATCCTGTCGTACCTTATTTTTCATTTCTGACCAGTTGCACTTTTATATACAGACTTCCTAAACTCTTATTTTAAATTTTTTTTAAAGAAACAGCTGTGGCCATTGTTGAGCGATTCTGTATCTCATCTGAATGTGAAATGCATCTGTTATTTACAGTTGTACAGTAACAGCAGCAGCTGCCCACCATTTGTTACTGTGGGAGCTTGGCAGCGGTGGATGTTGTTATCAGTCCATAGCATCAGGGATTGGTTTCCGCTCTGTTTTAAGACAGTGATGACAACATGGCACCGCACACTAAAAAACAACAACGACACACACACAAATAAGGCTTGTTGGTTTCATGATTGTGTGCATTTGGATATCCTGAGGCCCACGGAGCAAAACACATTGTTAGATGCAGGTAAGAGTCAGACGGAGAGAGACATCTGTCAGTCTCTCAGTGGCACTTTCACAATGCTTTTGATGAGATACGCTCAGTTTTCTCTATCTTGTTTCCACATGCAGCACCCAAACACAAACATATAAACACTCAGTATAAAAAACACAGGGCTCAGGTGAGGAATCTGTGTGTTTGACTGCTTTAACAGGGTGTTGATCTTGTACAAGACAGACAGTTGTAAACAAATCCCTCAACATGAGGAGGCTTAGTGGAGCTTATCCTTCTTTTCTCACCCTATCAAAGTATGTTTGTGTGACTTAAGAAGCAATAAAATGGAGAGTCGAAGAGTTTTTCAGCTTTGCAGAAATTTCTGTTTACATGAAGTAGAGTTTGGATTTGGTTATGCTACAAAAACAGACAGCCTTGTCTGTTGATGGTTCATCTGTTGTCTAAAGTGAGCTCCACCTCAGAAACCCATATATCACAGCTGTGTACACATTATTGTTAGGGCTGTGTATTGGCAAGAATTTGGCGATACGATACATATCATGACAGAGGGGTCACGATACGATATATTCTGATATGTTGTGATACTGTAAGCAAGGCGATATATTGCGATTTTTTTTGTCCAAAAATTCAATTAAATAAAAAACTCTTACTGGAAAAAAAAAGAAAAAAAGAGTTTTATGTCACGGGGGGAGTGCCGAGCTCGAGACACTAGACGCATGCGCTACATGTGCATGTCTGCCTTCCGTAACATTGGAAAAAAGAGCGCACAAAACACTTAATTTGTCTTAAAAATACAGACATTGTGACAAATAAGTAACTGTTTGTAACCTTACCTCAGCTTTAAGGCAGAGGGTGTCGATCTTTTCCGCTCAGATTCAGCTATCGGAGCATGAAGCTAATGTTTACTCGCATTGCTAATAACTCTCTGGCGCTCAAGAGGTAGAGGAGCCAAATGGCTGGCTCACTGCTGCCAACTAGTGGTCAGAGGCTGAACTACAACATAAAAATGAACGGCTGGCAGGAAAGTTGACGTTTTAAACCTTAATAAAAAATCGATACAGAGCTTTAGAATATCGATACAGTATCGGGAAATGAAATATCGCGATATTTCAGTGTATCGATATTTTCTTACAACCCTAATTATTGTACACACATCTGATTCAGCTGCATCCAGGGCTGCAGTGTCACGATTCTGCATCTGTAAATGAAAGACAGTTTGCTAGTCTTTCTGCAAAAACAACCTGCGATGTAGACTGGAGACCGTTGCAATTTCATCTCTTAAGTTGTGTGTTTTAGTTCGAGTGTTGGTCATTCCTGATTTAAATTCAGTTTTTATGAATAAGTCCTAAATATGTAGTCAAATGAGTTTAGATGTATTTAAAGTATGTCCAGAGGATGAATCTCAGCTACTACCACAACAAATTTTATTTTTATATCTCTAATCTTGAGTTAAAACCATTTTGCTATAGCTGTTTTAAATTGGATTGACTCTAAAAGTTAAAGTTGGTACTTAGTGATTACTTTTTGTACGTTTTGCTAAAGCCCCTCCAGTGTTTCACAAGATGTTTTGCTAACAAAGATAACTGCAGCAGTTAATGCCAACGTTTACAAACAGATCGTGCACAATAAATTAGGGCTCAGAGTAGACCTGGGCAATAAACCGAAAAATAACCGATACAGACATTTATGACAATAACCGACGTAATTTTGCCCAAGTTGGTATTTTCGGTATTTTAAAAAAATGAGGAAAAGAGAAACCTGCTTGTTTTCTGTTGTGGTCTCGTTAAAGTCGCCCAGTCTGATGCAGGTTTAAACAGACGCTGCTTTCAAGAAATCAAACGAACCCCACAGCTTTATCCAATCAGAGCAGAGCAGGGCGRGTCTTTCTGATGTCGGTGCAGCAGTCTGCAGGATAAACACCGGTCAGCCTGCAGCTCCTGTCCTGAGTGAACAAACCCCGTCCTCCACACTTTGCTCCCGAGCTACCAGAGACGTTGGTATCTAAAATCTGACACACTRTAAGTTTATGTTCAGAGCTTCGTTGTCTAACAGATATGTCCAACTTTGCTCACGTGACCAAACTCCTCTCCTCGTAAAGACAGCACTGTTACAAGAGCGAGGTGCACACAGGCTGAGCCACAGTTTCAGTTCTTTTAATGAAACATTAACTCTAACAGACGAACATTTGTTTGTCCCGTATTATAGAAAAGATGAGTCTCCGCTTAGCATTACCCCCCCAAAAGAAAAAAAAAAAAACCTGCTATGTAGTTTATCATATCTATAAATTTCMTTCTTCACAATATABHTTGCTTATATTTAGAACCATACTGTGACTGAACTGCTCTGTGATTCAATAAATGATCAAATATGAAGAATAAATARTATTAAATGATTACATGAGCTCTCCAAATAATATAATCTTTTTGAAAGAAATAGTTAATATACGTAATAATACGTAATAATACGTAATAATAATAATAGAGAAAGTCAGTTTAACAAATAAAAAATTGTAGTTGTGTTTTTTTTGTGCGGTAAAAAAACATATTTGGTATATTTTTTATATATAAAATTATAATACATAATGTGTTTGTTTGCACTGAAAAGTTATGGAAATGTTTAAATATTTCTATGACTATATCTGACTCAAGTCTTGACAAAAATGTTTTTTATTCAATGTTAAAAACACTAAAATGACAAACAGTATAAACTACAGAAAAGCTGCTCAAAATCTGAACTGTGAACTTTGACTAAGAACATGGACACAGTGTATAGTGTTATGACTATACTATAGTGTGTACTTGTGTGTGGTGGGGGGTGGTAGTAAGTTTTATCATGCATTTATCGTTATCGAGGTGAACTGGTCAATATATTGTGATATTGATTTTAGTTCATATTGCCCAGTTCTAGCTCAGAGTAAAGGTGAGGCAGCCACCTTTAAATTGGGTTGATCTCAAAAGTTGATCAGTTGTTGAGGAACACCCATTAATTTCTGAAAGTTTCATTAAAATGCAGACGTTCATGAGATATTTTGCTAACAAACAAAAAAATAAAACACAGACAAAAACATTAATACATGTAAAATTTCTTGTCATTTTTGTGTTTCCTATGATTAGTTGTCTGTGGCGCCCATCAGTTCAGGGGTTTCTGAGATATTTTGCTAACAGACAAACACAAACAGACAGGCACTGGTAATTACATGATGGTCCACTGTTTGCAGCATCAGGCAATAAAGAAGTTCTGCACCCCTCGAGGTTTTGTTTTTTAATGAACTAAAGTCCAAGTTGGACAGAGGCTGCTTAATTCCAAACTTTTTTCTTCTGTTCCTTTGTGCATCAAACTCTTAAAAAAAACATAACAAGCATCTTTCATGGATCAAATAAGCACAGCAGTGCTCGTTGTGCCAAAACGGGATTAAAAAAAAAAAAAGAGAGACAGTGAGGGAGAGAGAAATACCTTATTATTGTTATCAAAGTGAAGCCAGCTCCTCTCCTGCTGCTCTTTTGGGACCTTGCTCTCTCTCTCTGCTCACAAACCCAGGGGGAATCCAAACATGACCCGCATACACACCCCACCTCCTCCTGGAACACACACACACACACACACACACAGGCCCAACTTGGTTCACTTCGTTTCATTTGTGAAATTAGTCCATTCTCTCTGACCCCGTCTTTTCATCAAGCGCATCGGTGCATATTTTAGTCCCTTTCCTGTGCTTGTTTTACTAATTGGTGGCTATACTTCACCCAACACTGATATCCTTTGATCATCATAGATCATTACGTTTACCTCATTAATTTGCTCAAAGTAATAATGCACCCCCCCCACCGAGAAAAAAAAAAATTAAGGGTCCGTGCAAAATTAAATTAATAACAGATCATGTGAGCCAGAAAATGACTACTGTTGTGATTTTTTTCCCCCCTCATCCTGATTATTTATTGTTCACCACCTGTATCCACAATCTCATTTTTTTCGGAGTCTGCGACACTGTGTGAGCTTCACAGATTCACCTGTTGGTGTCACACCTCATCAGGTACGGCTGCTATAAGTAGGCTAAAGGTTAACCCCTCCCTGGTGTTTATAATAACCATGTTAAAATCCCTATTAAATAAAAATTTAAAATATTGCATCACAATTTGTGCAATTTACAACAAAACTTGCACAAAAACAGTCTGGAGAAAATCCCAGAGTCTTTCCACAGGGCTAAGTTTTATATCTACAGATATTTACATTCATACAGAATGATTGACAGATGTCTTGCCCCGCCCCCTCTGTTTGCTGCTCATTGGGGTTATTTTTGTTCAGTCCAGGGTCAGTCAGTGACGTACAATAACGTGCCTTGAATGCAGGTGTTTATGGTAGGGGTGGGTGATATTAGGAATTTTGGTACTGATCCGATACCAAGTAAATGTAAAGCTACCATCGCCGATTCTGATGCCAATACAAATACTTGATTTTTGCCTTAGTTAGTCAATTACAATAAAACACAGGACAAATATTTTAGGCAAACAAAAATGTTTTGTATTAACCAACTACAACAAAAATAAAATGTGCAAAATGACAAGAAAGAAGCAGACATGCAACAAAAATATAAATATAATGGTGTCAACAATAACAACAACAACAAAAGCTTCCATAGGACACAGGACAATGATGACGACTAATGACTAACTCCAAACACTTAGACTGTGCAATAGTGCGAATAGTGTATACAAAATAATCAATCTCATCACCCTAGTGTTGATCTGATACTGATACTCATCTTGGTTAGTGGGTGTGGCTTGTCGTAGACTGAGTAGGTACAATGGCAATCAAGATTAACGTGAATGAGGTGGATTATTTAATTTTGTGCTCATTTGCTTCAACTTCTCTGTAGGACAAACTGGAATGAAGAGGTTTGGACCAAAGGATATTCAAATCTAACAAAAGGAAAAGCAGCAAAACCATTTTGTTTGTTTGAAGTTATAGTTGAAACCTTAAATGCAGAGAAATTATGTATTGGACAACTGACAGAGGCTCTGTGTAAACTTGTTTTTTTTTTGTTTACAGTTGTGTTTGTGCTGTAAAAAGGACAGTGCCAATTTATGGCAGGTTTTCATTATTTCAAATTATCCATCTATCCATCCATCCATCCATCCATCCATCCATCCATCCATTTTCTGTACACGCTTCTTCCTTTCAGGGTCACGTGGGTCACTGGTGCCCATATCCAGCAGTCACAGTGCGAGGGGCAGGGTACACCCTGGACCAGTTCGCAAGTCCATCACAGGGCAACCTATTTCAAATTAGATGCTTGTATTGTTGGAACCTAATCTGCAGCAGTTTTATTAAACATCTGTATGTTAAATATCTGTTATCACACCCTACATGTAACCCCACCAACACCCTGTTCTCCAACGCTTGTGAACAAAACCCCAAGATATTTAAACTCCTCCACTTAAAGCCGCATCTCACTCTGAACCTCATGCAATATACTTGTTTGTATGTGTTAGCATAATATTTCATACACCACTGGGCAGACTTTCATGAAATAATCATACATTTAGAGACAATTTAATAAGGCTGTCACAGTTAATTGATGTGAGCAAAGAAAAAAAATGGTTATAATACGGTCAGATTTATAGATATTGAACTAAAATTGGGTATGATAGAAGCCAAGACTCATCCAATCAGAGCGTCCAGAATCTTTGTATAAAACTTTGTCATCCGTTGAAACCAGCGATGATTAATTTTTGGAATCATCGTAATTCAAGAAGGCCGTCACGGCCAGCTCATCTTAGAAAACAAAGAAATGACTACAACTCGGTCAGTTTTGGAGATATTGAGCTGAAACTTGTGTTGGTAGAAGCTGGGAGATATTCTCAACGCACACTCAGAGGACTTTTCAGTTCCATTAAATGTTCAACAACAACAACAAAAAATCTTTGTGATTGTGACTGAGTGTGTTTTCTTGTCATTTTCATCTATGACCTCTTTTTAGGGTACAGTTCCCAGTAGTGGGTCATATCATTGTGTGTGTGTGTGTGTGTGTGTGTGTGTTTCCCAGCCTATATGCCTGTGCAGAAACGATGGACATGCCAAGTTTAGCACAGCTTCCCTCTGATCCAGCACTACTTCACACATTTCCTCCCTCTATGATGCCTTCTTCCACTTTCAACATCCTTCCCTTTTTTATGGAAAAGAGCCAATTAGACGTGTGTCTGTTTGTTTTAAACAAAATGGCTTTTAATTAGCGCGATCAAAAAGGCTTCCTTCTGCAGGCCCCGGGATCCACTTTGTAGTTCCCCCTCTAGATCGGGCATGGGTTTGATGCCACCTGATAGGACGCCAAGACAATCAGAACCCTCTAATAACCAAAACACACACACACACGCACACTCTTTATCACTTTGTCTTCATGGATTGCTCGGCCTCTGTTAAAATCTTTTGTTGCACTGTTCTCATAACCCTCTCTTTGTGTTTGCTGCGTCTTTTAATGATTTTTTTGTTCCTTTTTTCTTTTTGTGTTCTTAGTCTCTGATCTGTATTATTCTAATGATGAAGTCCACCGTGGTTCAGTCCTGCCTTTGAGTAATGTTTGGTTTGACAATTTTACTTAATTGACATTTTATATCTTTGCTAAAAATGGGAACGTTTATCACCTGAAGAGTAAAGGATAGTATTAAACTGAGACCAAGTCAAGACCATAAAAACAAAACAAACAGAAACTAGTGTCCTAAAACATACTGTACACAGGTAGCTAACATAAAATGTTCGGCTAATATTGCCTGAATCTCTTTGTGTAAGAGCCTGGTAAAGAATTCTGGTACAGATGCAGATTACTAAAGTTTATTAGCTTATTCTTTATGATTTATATAACTGAAGACTCTGCAGACATCTTCCGCTCCCAGACAACCACTGCTGACTTTCTTGGAGTGCCTCATGCGAGTGAAAGGGGTGGGGTTGGGTGACAGCGGTAATAAAAATATATAATAAGCAACGAGTCACATTTGGGTTTGAATCTGTACGTTTTTAAGTCCAATAAAAGCAAAGATGGTAAATAAATTGGACAATATTCTGGCAATTTAGAGGTATTTCCACAGTTGTGGAGGATGCCGAATCCTCAATGTCAGAAACCATCAAAAAGTGGTCTTAGGACCGGTTTAAAGACCAAGACCTTCCTCGAGAACTACAGCACTGGTCAGGGCAAATGGTAATGTTGTTGCCTCATGAACAACTGGACAGCCAACACAAAAGTGGCAACAACTCATTCAATTTTACAGACATTAAAGCTGCAGTTTCATAAAAAGTATTTTTTTACATATTGGTTAAAACTGTCATCATGTCCTGACAGTAGAATATGAAACAGACCATTTGTGAAAAAATAAAGCTTGTCTGGCAAGTGGGAGGGACCTGTAAGTTGTGCCTTTTCAAATTTTCAGTCCACAGTTTTCTCTAAACTACCTACTGCAGCTTAAAGCTAAAATTAGCTATAGCAGCTGGGAGTAATTCACAACATGTACCAGTTTATTATTTTAAGGTTTGACTAACATCTCCATCCTTCCCCAGCAGAAAAAGTTTCTGCTAATTTCACTGAAGTAACTCAGGAAAACCAACAGTGTGGTTTACAGCAGGGTTATTATAGTTAACTAAAACTAACTAAATAACGAAAACTGAAATTGAAAAAACATTTTAATTAACTAAAATAAATAAAAACTGCAATAAAAAACGATAACTAACTAAAACTGTATAATTTGTTTTACAAAAATAGCTAAAACTAACTGAAATAGTAGATAGAATATCCTTAGTTTTAGTGTTTGTCCATTTATTTTGAGCCGTGTGGATCTTTATTTATTTATTTATTTTTAATTGAGTAGTTTCCCTTTAGCTGTGGGCCGTAACAACATTTGTTTACAGTCTGCTGCTCAGCATCATCTGCCAAATAACGACAGTAAAGTTTGGGAGAAAGCGACAAAGTCCACTTTGGGATTTCTTTGAATATGACTGCAAGAAAAATCAAAGCGTCTTGTAGTGGAAACAGGTGAAGAAATAGTTGGGATACTTCTCAAGAGAAAAACTGTATGAATCAAACTCACACAAGATGCTAACTGTGACTATCTTTACATGCTAACTTCTGTCAGTAGCTGCCATGAAAAACAAGCAACAAGTAGCACCGGGTTGGAGACAACTATTGTCATCGTCCTAAAATAATCACCCAAGTCCTTAGTTGGCAAAATTGAGTTACGCATTTATTTTAGGAAGGTGTCGCTATAATAGACTGCTTTAGTGACCAATTAGCTGTTGGTTAGTGAAGTCACAGGAACATCACAAGCTGGAGGATGCATTGGCAAATAAACTATAAAAAAACTAATACTAGAACTAATAAAAACTAAACTAAAACTAAGCATTAAAATGCAATAATAACTAATAAAAACTTAGCAAATCCACTGTAAATTAAAACTAACTGATTTCAAAGAAAAAAGTCACATAACCTTGTGAAAGGGCAATAATACATGAACTCATCTAAAATGCTGAGTCAAGTTAGACTAATATTACAACAAGAACCTTTTATGTTTTGGTGATAAAGTTATTTCTGTGCCCAGGTTCTGTTTGTGTTCCCAGATACTGATCTGGTTCTGACTGGACCTGCATGCTGTATGTGAGATTTGTGTATGTTTGTGCATATCTCTCTGTCAGGTGATGTCCGTTTTATTGTTTGTCTGCTGCTGACAGTGGCTGCAGGGGCGCAAGATGTGACCCAATCAGTTCACTACTGCTCAGCTCACCACAGCTGTAATTGACACGTGTGTGTGCGCACACTTGTGTGTGTGTGTGTGTTTGGACTTGAGCTGAAATAGGATTCACTGACAGCTGTCAGCTTGCTTTTTCTCGATCAAGATCTCCTCTCTCCTGGTTGCGTTCACATTTTCTGAGCAGTTCACGGTGAGCCAGGATTTGTGGCTCAGTGAGGCGTCTAAAGGTGTAGATTTTCAGCTTCCTGTTTGTGATCAGCTGTGCTACAGCGGACCATCTAGATGYTCTTCTATCAATTTTAATATCATTGAAGGAATTTATTAGTCATTTAGACACTGATTTGAAAGCACCACATAATTTTCTTAGTTTTCCTTATTAAGTATTGATTCTTATAAACTGTTGTGTAACTATTGTAATGCCTTGATCGAAATAATTTTAGTTACATGCCTGAAACACCATGACAACACATAATAAAATAGTGTCGCAGTAGCAACATGCTATGTGCTTACATCCATTGCCGCTATGTTTGTAATGACTTATCGGGAGAACAAACATATTCATGCGTAACTTTAATAGCATTTCATACTTAATTGAAACACTGCAGTTGCGAAACTGTGTTTTTCGACATTAACAGAATATCGACAAAGTTTTGCGCACATTTGCAATGGAAACACAGCTAGAGTTTTATGTTTTTTAGTTCCTTCTCTACAGCTCTCCTCTGAGCGAATAGTCATCTCTGAGGAATTAAAAGTGTGCGCGTGTGTGTGTATGTGTTCAAACACTTAGCATAGGGCCTCCTTGGTCTCCCTTCATTTCCATATAATTAGATTGTGTGTGAAAGGCTGCTTCCAGTGCATTGATTAAGTGTCAGAGGAGAGGAGAGCAGAGTACACAAGCATCTCTGGGCAGAGGGGACATGTCACTGCAATAACCTGTCAAACACACACACACGCACACACACACACACACACACACACACACACACAGGCTGTTCTATAGCCGATATCAGAAGTGACGTCTTAGTTACTGAAGAAAAGCACCAACACAAAGATCCAGCATTGTTTGTGCGTACAGTTCCACTTCGATTGCACTTGTTGTTTTGTGTGACAGAATTGAAGCAGACAGCCTCAGCCTGTTGTTTTCTTAAACTAACTCTTGTTCGCTCGCTGTTTAATTTATGTTTGCTGTGACTTACGCTGACTGGGGTGTTAGATGACTCTCCTCTCTCCTGCCCTATATAAGGACAAAACTAGCAGACCTGGCTGAGCCGCGCTGATCTTTGCTAATGGATTAGTCTTTTTTTTTACATCTAGATATACTGAGCCTCGAGCTGAACAACATTCCAGAAAACTATGAAGAATACCCGACCTACATCTCATCCTTGCACACACATTTACTTCATTTTTGTTTATATTGTTAATCCACACTATTGTTTCCCAGTTTTTTTGTGTTAATTTTCTGTTCTTATTGAATTTGTGCTAATTTAGCCATTCATAAATACATTCAGCTATTTAAGGAAATGGGTGCCATCACTTTTGGGTTTTGTAATTTTTATATTTTCTGAATATAGACATTTATAAAAAAACAATAATAGCTCTTCAATTCTTGCACAAACATTGTTGGTTTTGAAATCTGTCTCGGCATACTTGCTCTGTTTTTGTTTACTTTTGCTTCTTTGAAATTTTAGCAAATGTTCTGGTATTTTTAACTTTTAGGTCGCTTTTTGTTACTTTTAGCTCTTAGTATTTAGCCAGCCTTTTGCTACTTTTAGCAAGACTTTTTTACTTTTTATTTTTAGCTATCATTCTGCTACTTTTAACTTTTAGTCAGATATTTTTTACTTGGAGCTTCTAGCAAACCTTTTAAAACTTATATCTACAGTTCTGCTACTTTTAGCTAACCTTTTGCAACTTTTAGCTAGACTTTTGTTACTTTTATTATTTAGCTATCACTCTGCTACTTTTAGCTTTTAGTCAGATTATCAACTTTGAGATTCTAACAAGCCTTTTAATACTTTTAGCCTTTAGCTAGTCTTTTGATACTTTTATTATTTTGCTACTTTTAGCTTGTCTTTAGCTTGCCGTCAGCCTTTTTTGACTTAATACTATTCTACTTTTAGCTTTTAGCTAACCTTTTGCTATTTATAGGTTTTAGACAGCCATTTTCTACTTTTTTGCTAATATTTGCTACTTTTAGTTTTTAGTTCCCCTTTTGTTACTTTTTRCTTTTAGYTACCAACCGCTACTTTTAGCTTTAACACAGATGTTTGCTAATTTGTGCTTCTAGCAAGACTTTTAGTACTTTTAGCTACATTTCTGCTAGTTATAGCTTTTAGACAGCCTATTGCTACTTTCATGGTTGAGTTCCACTTTTACTACTTTTAATTTTTAGCTACCAAACTACTGCAACCTTTACTTTTCGGAAATGTTTTGCTAGTTTTAGCTAGTGTTTTGCTGTTTATAGCTAACATTTTGACACTAATAACTTTTAGTTAGTGTTTTTTGGTTATTTTAGCTTTTTGTTAGTGTTTTTCTTTTTGTGTCATTTATCCAGAGGTTTGCTACTTTTAGTTATGATCACTTAGCTTCAGCCTCTTCACCTAATATAAACAAAGTCGAAGAACCACTCAGCCTTTTTAGGGCGGATTTAGTCACAGGTTTTTTTTTTCTAGTGATGGGTTTAGGAAATGTTTAGCTGACATATTGTCGAGATGCGAGTACGTTCTTGTTTCACACTACAAGCTGCCTGATAGGAACTCTTATTTTTGGACAGAGCACAGATGTGCTGAAGTCTTTTACAAAATAAAAGACTTAAGAAATTGTTTTTTGCTAATCCAGCAGACAAGAGCTGACAAAAACTTTATATCGACTTTCATGATATTATGTACTAAAAGTGTTCATGTAGTTCTTAGAAAATTACTTATTTCTCACAAAGTTTGTGCAAACAATGRTTAAAAGCAGTATCAATAGTTTTGAATAAGTACTTATGTTGTAAATAATGGGAGTTAGAGCCTTTTTGAGGTTCAAAGGTGATTGATTTTCAATTTGCAAACTTCGTACCTAAAATAACTTCTGTCCGTCTATCTTTTACATGAATATTTAACATTTTCAAACATTTAGAGGAAGATAGAACAGACTCAGAGTCATTCTGAGCTGTCATCGTGTCAGGTTACTTTTGTCACTTCAATAGAAAACTGTCTGTTTCATATTTTCACTGTTTCACCTTTGCTAAGGCTTCGGCTCGTGTTGACGCTCCAGGTTTGGCGGAGAGGGAGCGGGATCGGATTTGGCGAGTGGAGTGGGACTCCTCCAAACCCCAGCTGAGCTTGGATAACGGTCCTGCCAGTGTACGCGATTGCACCRTAGCTGTTCTCTGTGCTAAGTGCTAATTAGCAGAATAAAGCATCTGTTGTTCTTTTAAACGCGCCGTAGTTAAAATATTTCATCTATCCGCCTGTCTCCGCCGATCTTCAGCTGTGTTAGGAGAGCAGAAAACATAGAGCTGACAGCGCGCGCACACACACACAGACACACACACATTACAAACAGACATAATTGAGTGCAAATGTATCCACAAACCAGCGTGCGCAGAATGAGACGTGCTGAGACACACATACACACATTGTCTGTGCTCTCATGTGAGCTGACAGCAGCATCAGCTTAATGTACCATATTAAAGTGAACAGAAGCTTTACTATAAACATTGTTTCCCCTCAGAGAAAGCCAGAGGCAGAGAGCAGGAGGCTGGTCTGAGAGAGACCGGGCCACTGGCTAAGTGCTTATTACCCTGCCTCCCCTGACACTTACAAATACACACTTTGTTCCTCCGCTGTCTGAGGTAGGAGCGACGAGGGGAGGGGAGGCCATGGAGAATCAGAGGGGAAGATCACAACCTGCAGAAGAAGAAAGGTTAAATGAGTTGAACGTTTACAGACAGGAAAAAGACATATCAGAATCTCCATCCTTGTCTTTTTTTCCTCCTCCCTCCTTTTCCTCTGTCTCTTGTGGCTTCGAGGAGGAGTGTGGGGGCAGAGCGCTCTTGTCTTGTTAAACGGCTGGCAGATGACAGAAAAATTAGAAGCATTTTGCTCTTGACAGGTTGTTTTGTGTGTGTGTGTGTGTGTGTGTGTGTGGGTGTGTGTGTGTGTGCACAATTTTTTCCCTCCCTGCTTTTTTTTTCTGCTTCAAATGTTTCTTGTCAGTTGGTTTTCAGTCAAGCTGTCTCGGCAGCACAATAAGTGCAACCTGCGCGCACACAAACACTGAGAATCATGCACAAAAACACACATGGAGGTAGATTTTTTTTTTGGTGTGTGTTCTCGGAGACAGATCTGATTTTGTGTTCTCAGATTGGCGGCGATGGGAGGAGGGAGAAGAGCTGTTTTTTTCCCACAAAGACGTCTTCCCCTTTGCTAATTATTGAGACAGGCTTAGATTGCCTGTTTGGAAACAGTTTCTCAAACAGCTGTAATGACAATGATTAGGCTGGGCTGTAGATTCTGTACAGGAGAGGAGGGGAGAGGAGAGGAGGGGAGTCTGCCATCATTTCATCCAAACATTTCGCCACCTTGTGTTTATGTAAAGTTTTATTTTTAAATGTCATTCCTTATGATTATTTTTACATTTCAATGCAAGTTTGTTTTGTGACATTTCCCCCTCATCTTTGTAAGTCTATTTGAGTTGACAAAGATGCCTTTTTTTTAGCAATAACTACCAACTTTTATAAATATTTTATGTGATTCAGGAAACATTTTGCGTCAGTTGCTTCTAAATGGCAGATTAAATTCTTGGTTTTGTAGAAAATACAAATGCAGATATTTTTATTATGAGTTCACTAAATATTCTTCACAAAATCTACAAACATCTAATATATGATTTGCTAATCTCAAACTAAGTAAACGTATAAAATGTTGTAGAATGTATTTGTTATGGTAATATTTATTTAACAAAGACAGAAATACGTGGTCCAAGAATGAAGGTACTCCGTGAGATGATCAGCTGAGTTTTATTACAACAACAGGAAACACAGAGAACAACCTGGCCTGTCTCTGTGCCTCTGCTTCTCTCTGTCACTGTCTCTCCACTGTCCACTGTTGTTGTACACTGTGTCTCCAGAGGCCTCATATATATATTAACAAACACCATTCTGTCATCTTAGCAAGATTTGATACAAGGTCAATGGAAAACACAAAAATAAACACAAGTGATATCTAAGAATGACTGTTGTTAGCAAATCTTGTTCTGACTTTAATCATTCTGTCTGCAGATGAACAGCATGTCATGAAAACCTAGGTCATTAAAGGATGTCATGAWTTACTTGCTTAAACACAAAAGTATTAGTTCCACCACATATTCTAATAAATGTAGTAATTTTGACATTCATGGCAGCAACAGGTGCTTCACTACTTCTTTGAACAACCGTTTGTTAACATCTAGGATGAGTTTTTTGTTGTTTGTTTGGAGGGATTGTTGTCCCGTTCTGGCCTGACACAGGATTCTAGCTGTTTATCAGTTCTGGGTCGTCTTTGATGGATTTATTTTGCTCAGTGTGAGCACATGTTGCTCTGAAACCTGTAGACRCTTTTCTGCTTTGATGGAGCATTTCTAAATGTGTAAGATGCCCATGCCAGATGCATTAATGCACCCCATACCATCAGAGAGGCCAGATGGTGCCTCTTTTCAGTACAGATGATCAGTTTTTCCACTTTGCCTCAGGTTATTTAAAAAAAAAAAGCTTTAGTCCATAGAAGACAGCAGAGTTTCTGGACRGTGTTCACGTATGGATTATTCTTTGCATGATAGAGCTTTAAGCAGACAATGAACTGTTTGTGGCCTGGCTCAACCGGCTCATATCTATCCTGAAATCTTWTAGTTTTTTGGTTCAGGAAAGTATAGGAATTGTGAAAAATTACACACGATTCGACACAGGAAACAGTCGTAGCCCAGCTCAAAGTGTTAGCCAATCAGAGCTCACGTCTTCACCACCTTGATCTTCTTTAAAGGGTGTTCTCATAAAGTTTTCCTGTGCAGCTGTGGTCAGCTTACCCGCCTTGTGCCACGAATGTAAATCACATCCCAATACTTAAAGGACTYGGTTCGTGTTTAAAACATCAAGTTGAACGTCTCTCATGACCTGGATAAGTCAGTCAACAATAAACAGCCGTGAACTCGACATCAGTGCTATTAATGTCAGGAGGAAGCCAGAGGGCACCGTTGATTTGTTTGGCCCACAGCATCATATCAGCATCCAAAACATTCACAGCAAACACGCTGAAAGTAGAGCAGGTGGGAAAACAAAAGCACTAAAACGTCTGAGACCAAATAATGTCTTGGATTACCTCTAATGTGGAGAATTATTATCTTTCTAAATCATTATTTTACCACCAGATTACCTGAAACTGTACCGCTTTATCTTTTTATCTCAGCTGTTTCGCATGGCAAGTTCAGATTTTTTATTTAATTTAAAAACGGGCCTGGTTTCGTTCCTCAGAATCCTGTCCTTATTTGTCCTCAGAGGGCATTTCAGGACACCCACGCAACAAATGATGCAATTCTTTTTTTTTTAACGCGGTAAAAGATTACGATGCAGCAAATGTGCTCAGACATCTTAAGTTCGCAGTTCGACTGACAATGAGAGAGCGACAACATGTGTCCCTGYGTGTCTCGCAGACAGAGGTGAGAGAGACAAGAAGGGAAGAGAGAGACGGGCAAGACGACAGAGAGCTGTAATTTAGCAGTCTGACAGAGGAAGTGAGATCTGTTGGGGGTGTGTRTGAGTGTGACAGTCTAAATGAAAAGAGACATCAGTGAATACATGTGTTTGTGTGGACATGAGGAGTGATCTGTGCTCGCTGGGTTTCACTCACCCTGTCAAACCCTGGGACAGCTTTTTTATCAACCTTCCTTCCTGTTAAAGCTCTGTCTGTGCGCCACGTCTGTCAGGATGCACAACCAAACCTTTAAGAGACGAGAAAAAGTAAAAGAGCTGCCACTTTCACAACCACACCATGTCCGAGCAGAGGGCAATAAATAGACTAATGAAGAAAGACAACATTCATTTCAGTGGCTTCTTCTGGCCTTTGAGACAACTTATGACAAGAAACTCTTAMACTGAGCACAACTGATGAGTCACAGCTGCTCGCCGTCACCAGGAAGTGCTCCTGTGCAACACGCTGATTCAGAAAAAAATGAGTCAATCAAGTTTTTATGTTCAGGGTAAACATTTTGACACGAAGTCTCTAAATCATTCAGGATGAGGAATCTCTGTTTTTCCTACTTGAACAAACCATTGATTTAGGATAAATTGCATCATCCTGAAAGGTTTGTTAGAAAATTACATCAGTTTTATTACTTGATAATAAAATATTATCAGAAATGCTCCAATATTTGTTGTCTAATGAATATGGCAATAATCCACATAAATCTTTGGGTAGAAGTGACGTTTAGCAGCTTTTAAAGTTGAAATTTTTAAAATGGCTGTAACTACCGGGTCGTGAGGGCAGATATGGAGCAGATCCAGGCCTCCACAGATCCAGAAGCCAGGTCCTGTAGTCCATAACGTTCCAACTGACCCCTCCAGGGTTTGCATGTCGTCCCACAGCTGACATATCTGTCGTGGCAAATTGATTGTGCCACATTTCAGCATTTAAAGGAGCATTTTCATGGCTTTTGCTTTGCTTTCACTATGGATGATGGTTCAGATTAATGGCTGCTTTTATGCATTTTACACTTTCAGTGCACAGATTCCATGCAGCGTGCATCGGTTGCATGTGGAGTCTTGTTAACAAATTAAACCATTACATTGCTATTCGCCACTCGTAACTCCCAATTAACACGGGATAAAATTTAATTGCACTGTAAAAATTCTTTTTTTTATGAAAGACAAACTGTTATGTTGTCCCGCAAAGACGGGCCTACAATTCCATTAAAATAATGTTGCAGCATTTCTTGAATAAATGCATATTTCCTGCCAGATTTTATGCCAGAGTATCAGAATAAAATCATCATCATGTACCATTATAAGGTAACGTTTTATCCCACGATCAGTTTGTGCTTGGACTTCATGCTGAGGATGAATCTCAGCTACTACCTCACCAGATTTTATTTTTATACCTGCAATTTTGAGTTATAACAATTTTGTTGTTGCTTAAAGCTGATTAGTTGCATTGTAAATTGGATTAACTCCACAAATTAAACAATTGTAGGGATACATTCATTTTTTGTGAGTTTCACTAAAACCCCTCCAGCATTTAATGAGACATTTTGCAAAAAAAAAAAAGAAACAAACAAAAAAATAAACAGTTTGATTACCTTTCTTTGATTTAAGCATTTTTTGTCCAAACTTCATGCTTGAACTTTAAATTTTGTTGCACGAAGACCGCAACTTCTAAAGATTATATCCAGGCTGTTGTCATGCGACAAAAAAAGGAAAAAGCATCACAAGACATTTAGCTTGAATTTGTCTTTGTTCCTCTGACCCTGTGGGTAATTTCTCAGAAGCATAACTTTAGCAAAACTTTATTTGCATGTGTTGTTTTCAATTCCTTCCTCTTTTTTAAAAAAGTCTTCTCCTTTCTTCTGAAAGTCGCTTCTCATTCTTAACATCTTTTATTTTAGGAAAGCAGAGCGGAGTGCATGTGTGTGTGTGTGTGTGTGTGTGNGTCTTTCATTAGTGTAATTTTTTACCAACTTTTTTATTGTTTGCATAAGTGACCACTTTTCTACCAGTAAGTCAAACCACTAATCCCACATATTTAAATACGTGCTGTAAATTAGACTTTTTCCTTGGTAACGGCACTAACAAAGCATGATAAGACAAAACCCCAATGACATTTAAAGATGTGTGCTTTTTTTAAAATATAATTTTTAGGCCCTTGTTCCATGCTTGTCATGTGATGGTTGAACTTCTTCCTGAACAAAATCCCCCTCGACAAAACCTTTTTTGTRAAATCACTTTCATAAATTTTTCTGTGAAATCCTGAGAATTTCTGCTCATTTTGTCGAGGATAAAAATACATTCAACCCTTAACTTTTAAATGTTGTAACCGTGTGATTTCTTGTCTTTCTGCATTTTCTCTCATCTCCCGGCTAAAACAAGCACAAGTTATGTTTTATCCACAGTATTCCTGATTTGGTGCCACTATCCATAAATAATAGCGGAAGTTGCTGTTTTATTTCTGCTTGCACTATTTACATTTACGGTGRGGACAATTCTTTAACAGTGACTCACCCGTCACTGAACACAGACTGGATAGATGACAGGAAGCTATGGCCCGATGTTAGCTACCACTGACATCAACTGCCTCATCTTTCCCGAAGACCAGCAATCCCCTCATGACAGCAAACAAGGTTCTGATCTGCCAATCCCCCCCCCACGTCCTACCATCACAGATGCTTAAACTTCTCAGAGTTGTAAAGTAACTAAGTACAAAAACTTTGTTACTGTACTTAAGTTGAATTTTTGGGTACTGTATTTGTACTTTACTTGAGTAATTATTTTTAGCCTACTTTTTACTTCTACTCCTTACATTTTTAAAAAAGGCAAGAAGTAGAAAGTCGTTACTTTTATTTCATTTTTGCTTTCTTTTCATTCCAGCTTGTAAAAAATAAATACTGTCCATATGAACTGTGCCTCCCAGATAGAGTGAATATTTACTGACACGATTATCCCTCAAAGGGAAGGATCGTCTAAAAATCAATCCAAGATTGTTTTAATTGATCTCCAGCAACGGGACATTTTTATCGAGGATGACAATGGCTTCAACCGTGGGGCACGCGGGGCCGCGGAGTGATTTGACGAGAACGAAAGTGACGAGACTCATATGCTGCGGCGCCTACAGTCACCAACTGTCAGCTCAGTTCAAACACCTATAGGAGATGGTGAGCCAAGGTGTTAGACAGTCATCATCATCAAAACACTTGGTGAGGGGGTATTTTTTGGAGAAGAGTGCCTGGTTCCACGATTCATTGCTGAGGGTTTTTAGTTCACGGTGTCAAGGCGGATGATGATGTTTTAGCTTGTATGTGTGCATGTGTGCGTTACTGAAATATCTCATGAACCACTGCATGGATCTGAATGAGAATTTCAGAAAATAATTATTAGATGAACATCACCAGGTGATGAATTGAATTGAAGGCTCAGTGGATCTGTGTTCGACTACTCCACCTAGCCTGCATTGTTGAGCGCAGAGCCACTGAGAAACTTGCTGTTTCTGCAATGGTTTTTGACAATTTTTTGGACGTATCCCATCGAGTGAGAACATTAATTCAGCTTCCACTGAATCCAGGAAGTTCTACACAAACATACTTCAGGTAAATCTGGTTCGTTCGCCCACCTAAAGTTACAGTCACCTGAAACAAATGCCACCTCCTCAACGTGTGCCACAGTTTGCTGTTAAGACAGATGATTCATCCAGAGGGTTGCCATGAATCAGCCTGTCAGCAGACAGATCTGATCTCAGGCTGGTTATCAAACCCTCCTACATGTGGAACACGTGAATCTACGTGACGAAGGCTGATCCCAGATCTGAGCCTGAAGCTGGAGGTTGGGGTGCTTCCAAACAGGAAGTGTATGAGATCAAACACGCCAATCAGATTGTGGTGTGTGGAGACTAAACATCATCACCCCACAGGAAGGAAGTAGCAATGTCCGAATTACCCTGATCTGTGTGTGTGTGAGGGATTTTCGCAGAGCAGCGTTTACATCCCACCACCAAATGTTTAGCTGTGTGCAGCTACAACCCTCGAACAAAAAGCTATGATTAGACCGAGGGCAGCGTTTATAATGTTTGTTTGTCTAGTGGCCTACGAGCTGTGTAGATGTGTGTGTAAGCATATGTTTCTGACTCCGTGTGTGTGTGTGTGAAAGAGTAGGATAGACGGTCCTGCTGGGACCACCTTGGCGAACAATGGCTCTTTTATTCCTCAAGAACATTTGACTCTGTGTCTCAACGGCCCCAGCCGGAGAGGAAACGCACATCCAGCGGGCTCCGCTAGAGCGTGCACGCATTCATTCGCTAAATCCTTTGGGGGTATCCGCTGGGGGGTCGGTTTTCACTTATCTTAGACACACGTGTCCTTGTGTTTTCTGTGTGTTATTTTTGGTTTTGGTGCAGCTAGTCAGGTAATTTGGTCCACCGCTGCAGACAGCGTGGAATGTGGTGTTGGTGGTCAGTTACGCTTTTGATTTGTGGAGGCGGGACCTAGGAAACAAAACCAGGGAAAGACCTCTTTTCTTTGTTTTTTTTACTCAAGCTGTATGTTTTTTATTTATTGTGTAATGACCACTAAAATTACTAGYCTAATGCACCTCACCAGCAAATAAAACCACCGCAAAAAGAAACTTTTACATTAGTTTTTATATTAAAGAAACCCATTGCATTTGTTTTATAAACTGTTTTTATTTATTTTTGTCTGCTCAGGACAACAAATGCAACTGTGCTAATTTCAGTGCATTATTGATTATTGTGCATTGTYGTTTTAAGATAAGATAAGATAAAACTTTATTGATCCCWGAGTGGGCAAATGTGCTCATTACTGCAGCTCAGTACAGGAGAGGGTGAGACAGAATAAAGATAAGTAAATAAATAAATTAATGAAATGATTATTAAATAAATGATGATTAAATAAATAAATGAAATGATTGCCAGAGTTTTAAACTTATCTTAAGTTGATAAAATAAAAAAGGCGCTGTTATTTGTGAGATATCATGCTCAGAATGTGTGTTTTGAATATACTGTATCTAACCACTTTTGTATTTGATATTTCCAGTTTAAGCCAAGCTCTTGTGCAATGAGTAGCACTTGAAGTATATGTTATAAATGACTCAGTTACAATCACACCAAATTCTAACAGTATTTGTAGAATAAAAGGATTTATAAACTATTATGTTTTCTAAGTGAGTTAGCTGTAGCAGCCATCTTGAAGTTGGTTGTCTCTAAAAGTTAATCAGTTGTTGA